TGTAATGTTTGGTATACACAGATTAAAATATGGTTCAAAGTCACAGGCCTTAAAGCAGCCTTGTAATGTTTGAACCATATTTTAATCTGTGTATACAGGCTGCTTTAAGGCCTGTGACTTTGCTGTCGACGCAGGCTTAGCTATGTAATGTTTGTGTATACAGGCTGCTTAGGGACATATGACTTAGGACAGCTGTTTTACAAACCATTTAAAGACGTTGAAGGAACCCTCGTGATAACCACCGTTAAGTATGTGAGTGATCCCAAAAGTCAGAAGAGCCTGTCGGTGCGGTGGCTCCCTCTGGCGAAAATTCATCGTAAACTTCCATCCATCAGTGCAAGTGATGGTGGTGAAATACCTCCTGCCGACGAATTGCTCCTATCGTCACTCCAGGTACGTCATGAACACTCGACGTAGATACAGTAAAATGTCAAATGTTATCGACTTTTTCTGAGCTATTTAAAGTTTAGATCTGAGCCTACGCCTTGCTCATTGACAACACTCTTCCAAGTACTGGGTGAAATGTGAATTTAATGCTAACCCTATTTAAAAACAAAACCGTTGCATTCTGGTGCATGCAACAATATATTTGACTTTGAGATCTAAGAGTTAAAATCAAGTTGTTGTTTTCTTTATTTTAATATATTTTTTTGTGAATTTTCAGGTGTTAATCAATTACAATCATGTCAGTATTCTTCGTTTGTCACGTGGACTGTATCTTGGATATGTGAAACTGAAGAGCTCAGTTGATGTTATCCGCGTGTTTGTGCCGTGGAAAGTTCCAAATGTTCTACCTTTCTGTCGGATTAGGGATAATCCCCACGTGACTAAGTATGTTTATGTTATTAAGATATTTCATATTAAAACTGGTACTGAGCCACACTTCAACTAACAGTTTCTTCATAAACTCATTCGTCATTTTAGTTCAAACGTAATCGTGTAAAGAAGTGGAATATATTATTAGTTAGTATATGATCAGTGACTTATCACCACAGAAACGGTGACTTTCTATCTACTATATGATCAGTGACTTATTACCACAGAAACGGTGACTTTCTTATGCAATTTTGAAAGATATACAGCATTGGAATAATTTATGATGTAGATACAATAATATCTTATGGTGTGTATACTATACTTCTAACCCTGATCTCTTATGATGCACGTACTTTAACACTAATCTAACCTGTTGTGATCAAGATACTATAATCCTAATCCTGATCTCTTATGATGTAGATACTATAATCCTAACCCTGATCTCTTGTGGTGTAGATACTATAATCCTAGCCCTGATCTA